TCCTACAGTTTGATGAACACCTATTTCTGTCTTCAGCTTGGTGGTCAGACTCTCTGTCCTGCTGAGGAAGAGGAGCTGCCTCAAGACCGCCTTCTTCAGGACTGAGCCAGACTTGCCATCTGTGTGGCTTATGGTGAAATAGACGCGGCGTCTTTGAGGTTCTGGATCTGCTTTCTGACGCAAAGACTAGTTTCTGAGTCCTCCGCATTTCTCTACCTGTCTTCCACCTGCTCCATAAATATTTACCTAGGGCCTTCTAATCACTGGTAATGCTTGGGTTGACCGTCAGTACAACCCAAGGTCAGTGTCATGATCAGAACTGTGGGACTGACCACCAGTAATCACAGCCCCTTCCGAAGTCTGTGTTCGAGTGGGACTATCTTCTTAGCGAGGCTGTCAGCTTCTTGAGGACAAACACTGCCTCCTAAGTGAAAAAAAAGAATCCCATAGAGCCCAGTACAGCGTGAAGCTTAGAGCAATGCTCAACAAACAAGCTGCTGAGAGGACAGCGAGGAGGTAGCAAAGCACTGTGATTATACGCACAGACCCTGGACCTAACTGCCTGGGTTTGAATCCTGGCTGTGTCCCTTCCACGCTGTGTGGTCTGGGGCAAGTTACTTAGCCTCCTTGGGCCTCAGCTGATTTTTTTGCTGTTCAATGGGGATAATAGTATTTACATTAGAGTGTTGCTGTTAGGATGAAATGACTTAACAGACAACAGTTCCTCTGTGCCAGGCACTATTCTAAGATTTAACATAGAGGCCTTTGTTACTGTTGTTATTTTATGGTGTATGTGCAAACATTTATCGAGTGTCTATCACAACTAAAAGTCAGTGTTGGCCCCTAGGGAGGCCCTGAGCTGGTAAGCCCTCCCCCCTCCCCTCTGTTCTGCTGGCCTATTAATGCAGGAACTGGGCTCGTCTTGGGACATGAGAGGTAGGAAGGCAGGTGACAGGTCCAAAGAGCTACCTGCCCCTCCAAGTCAAGGTGGACAGAGTTTCCCAGGCTCACAGGGAGAGCTCGACTCCAGGAGTGTTCTTGAGTAGGTTTGGGAACGAAAAATAGTACCTGACAGTGTGGAAAGGTGTGGTTTCTCAGTCTACCCTCTTCTTACTTCTTATAGTCCTCATCCTCCCTGACCTGAGCCATGGCACCAGCCTCTTGCTGGCCTCCCTGCCTCCAGTCTGGCCCCACAGCCCATCTGCTTCCTGCCAGAGTGAATTCCCAATGCGCATCTGATTAGATTATTTCCCACAGAAAAGCTGCAGCGGCTCTCACTTCCTGCACAGTAATGTCCAAATGCCTTTGCCCGGGACTAGTCATCCATCTCCATCCTTATCCCCAGCCTCACTTCCTCTTGCCCCTCTCTGTCCTCTTCCACAGCCCCACGTGCCTGTGTCCCAGCTTCCCACACTGCACTTCAAATGAGACCTCCCGCCTCCTGAGAGGCCCTGCAGGGCTCTGTATGTGCCCAGTTACCACACTCCCAACATGCACTGCGTTACGCTTTCTGTGCTTTTCCCCCCCTGGGCCATGGGACAGGTCACCAGAGCCGGGTGCAGTTTTCAGCCAAGGCTGGTTGGTGGCATACAGGCATGAATGTGTCTCTGAGGTGACGCTGGGTCACTCTAATGAATGCACCGGCCAGAAGACAAAAGACCCCGTGGAGGAAACTGACTTGGAAGACCCTGATGCGCTTGAAAGTCGATGGGATACATTCTGAGCAAGAAATTCACGTTTCCATTGTGGAGTTAGGTGATTTGGGTTCCCTAGTTTGTTCACTCATTTGTCCTCTTGGTCATTCGATATTCAGTCAACAGGTGTTAACTGAGCACCTACTACCATGGACAAGGCCCTGGAAATACAACAGTGAGCCAGATGGAGGTGGACTCTGCTTCTGGGCAGCTTACTGGCAGCAACAAACTGGGGTAGGGGAAGGGGTGGGGCTTGTGGAGTTCCCATGGGGAACTGACTCAGCTGAGAAGGCAGGGAAGTATTCTCTAAGGTGGCTTGTAAGCCGAGCTTGGGCATCACTGTTATTCCCATTTCATCCCCTCAGCCATACTCCCAGTTTTCCTGCCGCTGCCCCTGGACTCACTAGCTGTCTTGTTCTTCTTCAGAAACAATCACGTTTCTATCTGGAGGCCTTAGCAATGGCCATGCCCTGTGCCTGCTGTGCCTGTCCCCAAAGAGCTGAACACTTGCTCTCTCCCTCACCCAGGCTTCTGCTGGCTGCCCGTCACCTCCTCAGAGAAGCCTTCCCTGCCCATCCTGTCAGCCTCTTTCTGCTGTCTCTACTTCCCTTCTTTTCAGAGCACGTACCACCACATGGCACAATGTTCTGTGTTTATTGACATGCCTATTGTCTGTTTGCCCCGTGGAATGAGAGCGCCAATGGGCAGGGCTGTGTCCGGCTTGCTCACGGCTGTGCCAGCCCAGAGAGCCTGCCTGGGCCACCAGCCTTGCTAAATGCACAGTGAGTGCATGCCTTCCCATGCTGCGTGTGAGCAGAGAGGTGCTGCCTGGCCTCCAAGAACCCATATGGTCCCCAGAGAGAAAACATTCTAACCACAAGCGAGACTCCAGCCGTGCTGATGAAAGGAAATGAACTGCTCCACGGGGGCTCCTCCGGGGACCTGCCGAGAGCTGGACAGAGACGTCCTAGCCTTAAGAGAACTTGGAGTTCATCGAAGCCCCACCTATAAAGCACGCAGACCGCCTGCCAACCAGCACCGGGCCGGCCTGCATCTGTCTGTGAGCAACGGGAAAGAGGTTTGCATCCAAAACACATTCATCTCACTCTGCACTCGTGCATCTGTTACTTGCTGGGGACCCAGACACGATGCTCACTTCCAGGCGGGTAATTTATAACAGATTCAAGTGGCCAGCACATTCTCAGGTGTGCAAACATCGCGGCCAGCGGGATGGTTCTGGCTGCAGCAGAACCCTGGCCTCCAGAGGCACAGACAGGGCCGGCCCATTCCGCTCATTGTCCATATGGAGTCGGTTTAATGGACTGTCAAGATCCCATTGTGGATAAGTGGTCCTAGTGCGGGCATTGGGAGAGTTGGGAGGATTTGGCTGGAGTGGAGACCAGGACAGAGGGGCGAGGACAAGAGCGCGGTCTCGAGCAGCGATCAACCACCAGTTGGCGACTGCTGCTCCAAAGGTTATCTTAAACCAGCGGTCTCCAACCTTTCGGACCTCACTGGACCACCAGTGATCCGCGGACCACTGGTTGGCGACCGCTGGTCTAGAGTATTGACTTGGCAGGAATACCCACAGAAACCCCAGGAGTTTTAGCTTTGCTGGAGTGTATAGCAGGTTCACAGTGAACGGGACTTTTCTGCCTTCTGGCATTAGGGACACTACACCCTATCCTGTGGGGCCCCCTCAATCCTGTTCCACCCTTATTAACCTCTACTGGGTTAATCCCTTTGAGCGAGCCTCTGTTTCCCAGGGGGACCCTGACAGACAGACACCTTACATGAATTATCATGTTCTTGTGGAGGGACATGATTATCCCATGTTATAGATATCAGAACAAGTAAATAATTTACCCTAGATGTAACACTAGTAAGCAGAACTGCCGGGGTTCAATGGGCCCTATGAGGACTGAATTCATGACTTTGGTCTGTGCGCCCTTGACTTTAACACTGAGACCCGCACAGAGCCCAGCATCACATATTAAGACAGCATCTCGCAGAGGCTGCCTGGCCATCTGCATACCCTGCCCCTTATGGAGGGAGAGGGCAGTGGTGTGTCCTGGGCAGGCAGAGAATGGATTCTAGCTGTGTGAACTTCAGCAAGGCTCTTAACCTCAGCCCTGGCTGCTTTTCCTCCTGGCCTACAGAATGCATTGCAATGACAGGGTCTGGGAGAAATGGGAGATGCTATTAGTATTGACACTGCAGAGATTTGCTTCCCTTTACAACAATTTCATTTGTTGCCTATAACCACCAAAGCGCACTTTGGCTCTGACTACAGTCAGATGCTCACCTGACTTTGGATGGAGTGTCTACCCGGAAAAGTGATTTCGGCTGGAGGTTACCACTCACATGACTCAGGCCTGCAGACCCCACATGGGCCATGGCCCTCGAGGCTAACACATCCACTCAACTGCAGACAAGGTCAAGGGGAAATGGAGGGGACCGACTCAGTCTGGTTCAGCACACGCAGGAGGGGCAGCAGGAAGAGCCCTAAACTTGGAGCCATTCGCGCCTGGTTCCTTGCCTAGTCCTGCCACTGACTAGCTGCATGGCCTTGGACAAGCTTTGCAATCTCTGCTTTCCTATCTGGAGAATGGGGTGGCTGCCTACCTTGGAGAGCTATTGAGAGGTCCCAATAAACTGATTCACTTAAAACCACCTACCACAGGGCTCAGGAGCGACTCATGTAGCACCTCTGGCTCTTGTCATCGCTTTTCCGTTGTTACTGAAGCCCGCAGGGCATGGAGGGGGAGGCACCCCTGACTCAGACTCCTGCTCCCTCCTCCCTCACCTCCTAACAGTGTGATCCTGAGGAAGTTGCATGACCCAGAAGCCTCAGCTTACTCTCCTGGAAATTACTTTGTGAGGTTGTGGTGCTAGTTCAGGTCATGCGGAAACAGAGGAGGTGATGAGTAATTCTTAGGTTGCTGTCAGCCCTTCTTGCCTGGCTGACTTTTACTCACAGATAAGGCAGCACTGTGTCTCCTCCTCCGGGAAGGCCTCGCTGGCCCCCACCTCCACCTTGAGGCTTTGATTTTCCTTTGTGCCTCCATAGGCCCTGCTCTGTGAGGGTCTCTTTTCTAATCTGACTCCCTCATCAGACGTGAGTCCTTTTAAGGTCTGTGTTCCCAGCACCCTGTGGAGGATCTGCTCAGTGCTCGGGGAATGAACCCTAATGCGCGTGGGAAAGGCTGAGTGCTCAGGTGCAGAGCAGACACACAGACACACTCACACACAGGCTGGAGGCGGCTGTTCAGAGCTGCCATCTCCTGTGCACTTTCCTGGAAGGGCCGAGGTGGCCGAGACCATGTCTATTGGGACTAAAGCTCCAGCCCCAGTTTCTGACAACCTGTGGGGCCTCTGTTAGCCAGGGGCGGGGGTGGGGGCGGGGAGGAGGTGGGGTTGAGGTAGGAAACGCTCCAGGTGTTTCCCACAGGGGGAATTCAGTGTAGGGAGTTGGTCACACAGGTGATGAAGGAGCTGAGGAGCCAAACAGGGAACAGTGGGGCAACCAGAGGTCAGCAACAGTGGGAGGCTGCGACCACCCCTAGAACGAGCAGACAGTGGGAGACACACGCTGCCAGGGCCCAGGAGCTCGGGCACCTGTGGAGGCCGGGCCTGTGGCAGCCTGACTGACAGGAGCTGGGGCCATGGCGGGACGCAGCCACTGCTGGAGCTGTCACCCAAGGCCGAGAAAGAGGAGGAGACATAGGCTGTCTTCTCCTTCTCTTTACCCTCCAATCTCCCTTTAGTGCTTGCCATGCAGGGGTCAAGCTCATTTCTTTTCCTGCATATCTCTCTCTCTCGCTCTTTCTCTTTCTCTCTCTCTCTCTCTCTCTCTCTCTCTCTCTCTCTCTCTCTCTTATATGCACACACACAGATACACAGACACACACATTCACATATAGAGACACACACTCATACAGACAGACACACACAGACACACACTCATACCAATAATACAAAGCAGAATGGGGAAACACAAGCAATAGATCTAAGGCAGGGGTGGGCAAACTTTGTGACTTGAGGACCACAATGGGTTCTTAAACTGGACCGGAGGGCCGGAACAAAAGCATGGATGGAGTGTTTGTGTGAACTAATATAAATTCAAACATCATTACATAAAAGGGTACGGTCTTTTTTTTTTTTAGTTTTATTCATTTCAAACGGGCCGGATTCGGCCCGCGTGCCGTAGTTTGCCCACGGCTGATCTAAGGGCAACAGGCAAATGAGCAACACAAGGCTAATGCTTGTGGAATTAACAAGTCATCTGGTTTGAAAGCATTTTCTAGCTGATCTATAAAACACTTGCTAGTCCGAGGAACCCTGGTGGCTCTCTGAGCCCTTCACCAAGGCCCTTGGCTGCCAGCTGAGGTACCGAGAAGCCTGGCTGGAACCAGTCACCCTGGGTGTCCACCTAGCCCCGAGGTCAGACCCGCCTTTGCGCCCTTTCCCACTCCCTGGGCGCCTGTCTTGGCCCTTCTTGTATTAGTTCCCTCCTCAATAGTCTCTGGACACTGAAGTGCCCCTTTCCTATTCGGTGTCCTGATCCCAGCTCTGATCTCTCTCACCCCTGGAATATGCCAGTCATCCCAAAGCTCAGCCCACCTCCTGGATCAAAGCCTTTCCATCGCGGTTTCTTGCCTGCAGGATAAAGCCCGATCCCTGTTTGGCCCTAAACCACCCATGGCCTAGCTCCAACCATATTTCCCACTCCTTCCATTTCGGAGTCTGCTCCCCTCGAACTGAGCAGATGCATATCCGCGCTCCCAGCTGCTGCATCTCGCCTCCGCTGTTCTCTCCAACCAGAGACCATCTTCCTCCTCTTTGCTCTCCAATGCTATCGGTGCTTGAAGCTTTGGTTCACACCACATTTTGCATTCCTGATGGAAGAAGCAATTTCCCCCCATCTCTGAACCCCTATAGCATTTTATCTGAACTTAAGACTCAACCACTTTCTAGTTTGTTCTGAAATGATTGATGGGCACAGCTTATCTTCCTGCTAAGGTTTTAGAGGGTAGGACCATGGCATCTTAAGCTTTATGGTTCCCATAGCCTCCAGCACACAGTAGGCACTTTTAAATTCTTGTTGTCTAAATGGCTGTACCTTCAAATGAATGAATGAATGAATGAATGAATGAATGAACAGATACATATACAAATGAGTCAGCGGGTGAACAAACAAGACTGGCCTTTGTCCTGGGGCCCCGCAGAGCAGGCTACTCCAGCCCGCCTGAAGGTAGGCAGCTTTAGGTGGGGAGTTAACATGGGTCACGCTACTTTCACAAAGCAGGGAGGAGCCAGGCGGCTCTGGACATGTTCTGGGAAGGCCACCTCTGGGGGAGAGTCAGGGGACAGCCACAGATTTTGAGCCTACGGCAGTCAACCCCAGCCCCTGGCTGCCCAGCCCACAAAAGCACTCACATCAATGTAGTTGGCGTTGATGTAGTCGGAGTGTGGGTCTCCATCCAGCACCAGCAGCCTCACTCGGGAATGGTCATCTGCAGGGAGGTGGGGGGAGGAAGAGAGAGAGGGAGAGCGAGAGAATAAGAGGATGGGTGAAAAGACACCATCAGGTGAGGAGCCAGCCCTGCCCTCTGTTAGAGCCACATTTGTTAATTACTGCACACTTGGCATCATGAGACTTTTGCACAAAACTTCTCATGTAACCCCCCCAGCTACCCTCAGTTATTGTCCCCATTTACAGATGAGGAAGCTGAGGCCTGGGGAGATTACTATGCCCTAAAGAGGACCTGTATCTTCTCTTTTCCCCACCTGCCCTCCTGATGGCTTTGTCATTACCACCTAGGTGAGTCTTAGTGATTTTATCTTAAAACTAGAGGCCTGTTGCATGAAGAGATTCATGCAATAGGCCTTCCTTTCCCCTGGCTGCTGGAACCGGTTTTCCTCCGGCACCTGGCACCCAGGCCTTCGCTCTGGCTGGGCTCCAGCTGGAGCGGGCCCTGGGGCCATGAGGCTTCTGCTGCTCCGCCGGCCCCAGGGCCATCGCTGCTCCGGCCCCCGGGCTGTCAGGCTTCGCTCCACCGCTTGGAGCCTATGTATGCAAATTAACCGCCATCTTTGTTAGGCTAATTTGCATACTCCCCTGATTGGCTGGTTAGCATAGCAAAGGTATGGTCAATTTACATGTTTGTCTATTATTAGGTAAGATGGGGATGGAAATACCTTCTCCATAGACAGTGCAAGGGAGACTATGTGAAAAGTCTCGGGAAGCAAGATGTATGGATGGGGATTAATACGCTTCATTTTCATGCTTGTTTAAAAACGGCAAATTTACCTATTTTCCACTTGGGCACAAATTGCTTTTCTTTTGCCTCTTGGAGTATTGCTGCAAATAGATTGTTGGCCACATACTGCTATCAATACTATCATTCGAGCGGAGCTGACTAAATCATTATAAAAGAGGTCATCAATAACTGAAAACCATGTCACAGAGCATACCATTCCAAACACAATCTAGGCATAAACAAGATTTGCAGGCTTTGCTCGATGGCACGCTGGCTTCAAATAACACCAAATAAAAACCATTAAAAAAACAAGTACAGCAGGAGAATCAGACGAATCTTTTACAATTAAGTAAAGTGAGCTCCGCTATAGACACAGACACACGCAATCAGACCGCCCTGGCTGGGTCTGGCTGGGAGGAGGGGCTCAGCTGGCTGCCCAGGTCACTGTGCAGGTCCCTGAATGACTGGACATGACTCTAGGGCAGGGCTAGGGTTCTGAGTCAGTGGGTGGCAGAGCTTTGAGCATCCCCAGGGGTCCCATGCAGCAGGTCCTCATGGTGCTTGGTGACTGTATGAATGGATGACCTCACTGGACCCTGACAGTGATGCTGGGAGAGAAGCAGGATGGGTGCTGTTAGCCCTGATACAAATGAGGAAACTGAGGCTCACAAGGACTCACTGGCCATGGACAGGGGGAGATGAAGGTTGGAAGAGCGGGGTCCTCTCAACTCTGGGTCCAGCTCCTCCAGCCTCCAAAGAGGGTGTAAGTGGATATGAGAAACCACTTCAAGTGTCCAGAGCAGAAGGAATTAACGATAGAGAAGTGGTCACATGGATGATGTTCAAGTTGAAAAGCCAAATAGAAGAGGGTGAAGTAACTCAGAGGTCAGTACGGTGTCTCCTTAGGCATGCCTCCTGAGGACGGTGGGGCAGAGGGAGGAGGTGGAGGTCCTGGAGCTCCGGGGCTGGGGCACCTGTGGGGACTGCAGCTGCAGTGGCTTCTTTGGTGAAAGCTGGAGAAAAGCTGGAGCCTGTGGTTGGGACAGACGGGGAGAAATACTCCTCCCCTGGCCTCTTCCTTTCTCCCACCTCCCAATCTCCCACCGGTACCTGCCATTGGCCAAACCCATACAGAAGCCAGCTGCCCAGAGACTGAGAAATGCAACCTGCAGAGTCAGCTCTCTGTGAGCAAAAAGTGAGCAGGAGCAGGCAAGAAATGGGTCCCAGGATGAACACACAGGCCCGGGGCTGGGCAGCATACCACGCCCTAGCCATTAATTTACTACCTAATTCATTAATTAAAAAACTATTCATTCAGCATCTGCCATGTGCCAGCAGGGTGCTAGGCACTGAGATATACTGGATGCCACTTTAAAAAAAATAATATATTTTTATTGATTTTAGAGAGAAGAAGGGAGAGGGTGAGACAGATAGAACATTAATGATGAGAGAATCATTGATTGGCTGCCTCCTGCACGCCACACACTGGGGATTGTGCCCATAACCCAGGCATGTGCCCTTGACCAGGAATTGAACTGTGACCTCCTGGTTCTTTGGTTGATGCTCAACCACTGAGCCATGCTGGCCAAGCCTGGATGCTACTTTTTTACTCATCATGGGGAAGAGTTCCAGTGGAAGCCAGTAAAGGAGTAGATGGGAGGTCTAAGTCACCCCTTTGGGTGGCTGGGGGAGTGGGGTGTGAAGGAGTCTGAAGCTAACCTTTATGGAGCTAATGACAGGTACCAGAGACTTTACATCCATGACCTTAATCCATCATTTACTCCCCCAAATAACTGAATAGATTATTGTAATAATACCATTCTGATGTAGTGTTATTATTCTTTCCATTTCACAGATGCAGAAACTGAGGCTCAGAGAGATTAAGCAAGTTTCCCTTGTTACACAGTCTGTAAGTAGCAGAGCTGAGATTCTATCCCAGGCCTTTCTGACCCTGGACCCCGATTCCGTCCACACGATGTGTAGTCCCTGGACTTTTTGCATCTCCCAGGCCCCACTCCTGGAGTCCGTGCAAGTGGTTGGTCCCCAGCCCCTGCAGTATTCTAGCCCAGAGAGGGGAACTTCCTGCGGGACAACCCACCCAGCAGGGGTCACATAGGGCCCAGCATCGATCTCTGAGCTCGGGCTGTTAAGCTTTGTCACCAGAGGCTACAGAATCTGTAAGCCTTAAAAAAGTGAAAATGCATATTGTGTTTTCACTCATTGGTCTCACTAATGACTTATCGATTCAAAAATCTCCTTTACTTACTGAGTTATGCTCCAGGGGTCTACAGCACTGGGAACAGAGGTTCTGGTATAAAATGTTGAAAGGTAATTTTCTTTAATATATAATGGAACTTAAAGTCTGAAAGCCAAAACTATTAAAAACAAAAACAAAAGGAAACAAACGTACTTCGTTCAATATTATTAAAGATGAACGTTGCCTCTAACTGCCAGATGATGGTGTTTGCCAACCTTCATTCACTGAGCACCTACTATGTGCAGGCTTGTTGAGGGGATTCTGAAAGTGTTATGAAAGTGATGCTCAAGCATAAGGAGAATCAAGCATAAGGGGACAGACTGTACTTAGAAGTGAAACCTCAAGATCTAAAAATAGAGAATAGAGGGCTCTGTGGAGCAATATATGAATGAGGAATTAAAAGTGAGTAAGACTGTCCAGTGGACAATGAGGAAGGTCTTGCCATCAGAGGGACTTGCAAGGGGGAAGGCAGAGCTCCTGAAAAAGTAGGCACACTATGAGCTAAGGAGTTCCTGTCTTGTAAATGCAGAGTGTGAAGGGATTAGCAGTGGGAGAGGAGACGGAGGAGGTGGCAGGGCTAGATGACAGAGGGCTCGCCACGCCATACTTGGATGCAAGTAACCATTCCCTGGGGTCGGCAGGGCATCCGCGTACAGACTCTGTATTCTGAGACTGTGAAAGGCTGTTTTAGTATGAAATGACCAGGACTCATTCTTACATGATCTAACTTGTGGCAAGTGGGAATGTGAGGTATGAGGATGAGGTCACATCTGGGTTCAAATCTTAGCTCCACCATTTAGAACGTCACCTGATTTCTCTTAGCCTTGGAATCCTTAGCAAAATGGGGCCAATACTATATAGTTCACAGAATGCTGGGAGGATTGAGGAGGAAATGCAGGCATGGAGAGTGAAAGGACATTAAGAGAATGAAAAGACGAGCCACAGACTGAGAGAAAACACCTATAAAAGACATACCTGATCTAGGACTTGTATTCACAATATATAGAAATACTCTTAAAACTCAACAATAAGAAAACAAATAAATCAGGTTTTTTTTTTGAACATCTGAACAGACATCTCACCCAAAAAGATATGCAGGCGAAATGTTCACCATCATATCTCATTAGGGGATTGCAAATGAAACACTGAGATACTTTTACACACCGACTAGAATGGCCCAATCCAGAACGCCAACAGCACCAAATGCTGGAGAGGATGTGGAGCAACAGGAACTCCCATTCATTGCTGGTGGGAATGCAAAATGCTTACTGAGGAAGACAGTTTCCTCCCACACTAAACACACTCTTACATGACCCAGCAATTGCTCTCTCTGGTATTTACACAAAGGAGCTGAAAGCTTATGTGCACACGAATGTTTACAGCAGCTTGATTCACAATTGCCAAAAGCAAGATGTCCTCCGACAGGTGAATGGATAGATTGTAGGATATCCACACAATGGAACAGTATTCAGTGATATCTAGAAAGGAGGCATCAAGCCATGAAAAGACATGGAGGAGCCTTAAATGCATACGGGCAAGTGAAAGACGCCAGTGTGAAAAGGCTTCACAGTGTGTAATTCTAACCCCATGGGATTCTGGGAAAGGCACAACTATGGAGACAGTAAAAAGAGCAGCGGTTGCCAGGGACTTGGAGGGAGGGAGGAACAGGTGGAGGGCAGTGAAACCTTCTGCATGATACTGTAATGGTGGACACACGTCTTCATACACCAGTACATACCAAAGAACTGTACAACACAAAGAGTGAACTCTACAAAGTATGGACTTTCGTTAGTAACAATGGATCAATATTGGTTCATCTATTGGAACAAATGTATCACACCAATTCAAGATGTTATAACAGGGAAACTGGATATGGGGGGGGGCAGGAGGGAGGAGGCGTATGGGGGCTCCCTGTGCATTCTGCTCAAATTTTCAGTAAATCTACAAGTGCTCTAAGAAGTATTAGGACAGTGCTGGGCATACAGCAGGTGCTTAA